TCGTCTCGGACTTCTTACCTCTTTCTTCTCTCCGCAAATTCCATGCCACTTGTATCTTTCTTCTCAAGGAATGCAAGCAGGTTTAGGAGTTTTATTTCATAAAGTTTGTAAGCGTCGTCTTTATAATATAAAAGTTGAATTATATTTTGTTTGTGTTGTCGCTTTGTCTTATTTATGTTTTTGTGTCGATATATGGTTGTAAGTGTGAAAGACCTAATTTTGGCAAGCACATATTAAAGAACCGATACATACGCTTTGAACGAATAGTGCATTCAGTGAATGAAAATTTTCAAATTTGAGGAAACAATGCATTATTGATCGTTGTGGGTCTCTCATGACCATTTTGACAATGTTGGTATGATGCGTCAAATTAAGTAAATCAATTTTATCCATACATTTTCTACAAATATAGTGCATAGTGGTGTAATTGAGTCAAGACGGCTTGTGAGCTTGTTTGAGCATAAATCGATAAATTGCTTGTGATCCAAGCTCGATGAGCTAATGAGCCAAGATTGACTTGATTCATTAGCTGATGGGTCGATTTGTTTAAAATTTGTTAATATAAAATTTAATGTTTTTTTTTACAAAGTTTAAAATTTTTTAAAATTATATCTTTTTTTTTACTTCAAGTGATTTCTTATTATTTTTCATTTTATTTTTTAGTTTTTTTTATCTTGTTATTTTTATAACTACTAATAAAAATGACCTTTTCTCTTTCTTAATAAATGAGCCGACTCGAACTCGTAGAATTAAGCTAGCGAATGAGCCAAGCTTGAGCCGCGATTCATTACCTCATGAGTATCTAGTTTAAAATTTGTTAATATAAAATTTAATGATTTTTTACAAAGTTTAAAATATTTAAAAATTATTTCTCTTATTTCAAGTGATTTCTTATTATTTTTCATTTAGTTTCTTAGTCTTTTTATCTTGTTATTATAATTACTGCTTGAATAAGAATGATCTTTTCTCTCTCTTAATAAAAGAGCCAACTCGAACTCGTAGAATTAAGCTCGAGCTTGAGCTTGAATTTGATTAATTAATCAATCTCAAGTTTGAGGATGGCTTGAGCTTAGCTCGACTCATTTATATTCCCAATAGTGTAATTTATTGAAAACATGCGAACGCCTAGAATAATGTGCAAATATATCTATTAGCATGCAAGTGCATTGTACATGCACATTAAAGATTGTGCAAGCATGTAAGTGTATTACATAATTGCATCAAGAAACATAAAAGTATATTATGCAAGTACAACAAGAAACAAGTTAAGTGATTTTGCAAATGCATATTAAAATATGCAAATATGCTTTGTAAATGCATAAAAGATTGTGCACGACATCAAGTGCATATATGCGCATTGAAGATTGTGCAAGCGTGTAAGTGCATCGTATAATTGTATCAAGAAACATGCAAGTATATTATGCAAATACACCAAAAACAAGTTAAGTGCATTATGAAATGCATCTTAAAACATGCAAATATGCTTTGCAAATCCATCAAAAGACCGTGCACGACATCAAATCTCCTAAAAAAATTTACCATTAGATAAGCATGCTCTCAAGTGGGTTGCCCTGCCTATAAGGAGGGTCATAGGACTCACATTTCAAGTTCGATCGTCCTTCTTTCAAGGAATAGGGTTGGCAAGACTTGCATCTTGTGACATGTATCAATACATCAACTCTAAAATTCACGAAAATATTTTATTTTACCTTTGCATTAGTTTTTGCAAATCCTTATATGCAAAAACTCTTTATAAATTACAAACTCTTAAGATCACCTCACTCATATAGTAGCTCGTAATGTTAATATTTGAACCTGATCCTCTATATGTAGGCGAACAAAGTTGATAAGATTCAAGTAACAAAATAAAATCATTCGAATCCCTTGATGACAATCAGAGGGGTCTCTATTTTTTTGAAACTACCCACATATCCTTGCGCAAATCATTTGGGTTCAAATTCAAGCAAAAATATAAAAATATAAGAAAAAATCACAAAATCCAAAATATTGAAGTGATATCTACCACTTCAAAGCTATAACCAACAATCCTTCTATACTCCACAAGCATTTGTCGAGGTGATGAATTTGAAAATGACCTCAGCTCGTAAAGTGCTTATATCTTATCAGGTGTGTGATAGGTACCACTTGAATATTCCAAATGATTCCTATCGGATCTTCGCCAAAACACAAATATTCCACTGTT